TCCTGCTGAGAATTTGTTTTTAATGCTTTTGTACATTTTTGCATATTTACTTGTTCCCACAAAGAATAGTCCAACAGCTGCAGGAAAAACTTTGACACAATTAAATATACGGCAAAAGTAAAGGCAGAAGTCCTGTGATGAAATGAGAAGCATTTAAACAAGCCTAGCTAATATCAAGCCATCGAAAACAGATGAGCAGAATTTCAACTGAGAACAAGAGTGGAGCAAAGTCAAATGGATGAGATTTGCCCTAGAATCTGTCTTTGATAAGTGTAGGCTTTAAAAATACACAACCTGAAAAAATAGCTTAAATATTAGAGCTTTTATCTGTGCTAAATTGTGGCTGCAAGTATCTGAGTCATCGGGCTTGTAACAGGTGTAATTGTTTGTGCAGTTGTCGTGTTGTGTATCTGCTCTCCCCAGTCCTGACAAACAGTAAAATCGCCGCTAAGCTTCAGTGAGAGACAACAAGAGCTTTGACCTTAGGATCTGTCATTGTTCCTTTGTTATCTCTGTGCATTATGGAACTACTTCATTTTAATTCGTTCGGTTTCTGTTTATTTCTTCTGCGGCAGTCCCAGGAGCTTGCATTCACTGGCTTTTTGTTGGAGCGTATGAATTGTGAGTTTGAAAGACCCACCATTTCTTTCTGGTAGAATCACAGCCCAGACTGAATATATCTCACTATTAATTAGAGATCGGCCCAAACCAAAGATGTCTGTTTGATCCCTCCCTCCCTCTGGAATCTTTTCTTGCCTGGGAAAAATTGCTCAGTGCTGGCTGGAGGATTGACCATTGTGTTGTAGAGAAACTTTTGTGGTTTCCAAATGTGTTTCATTCTCCTCTGGCATTAAACCAAAAAAATCCTTCTAAGTGTCTGCGAACCTTCTGCATGTAAAGGATTTCTCTCCTTTTCTCAAGTTCACTCTTGCCTATAAATCCATCCCACTGAGACCTCTGTCAACTTTTTTTTTTTTTTTGTGAGAAATTTTGTTTCAAGAACACAAAGCTTTTATCAGTTTGCCACTAACTTCCAAACTGCTGGCCTGGCAAAAGTGGATTGGGAGTGATGCAGACTTGCAGCCCCCCATTGCATTGTGTGTTAGCAACGTTAGACTAAAGAAAATGTTCTGGTTTACTGCCTACTAATATTCAATATGCCAGTTTCTTACTTATGGTGAAACATGGATAAGAAGAAGTCCTAAGTTTGATCTGGCAATAAAAGAACAAAGACCAACCAGTAAAAAGTTTTGGAACTTGGATTGGGATCTGGCCAATCAATCTCCTCCTTGGTTTATCCAGTACCTGGTTAATGGTTTTCAAGTAGATATTAGATTGGGGAAGGTGGAAAGGGAGCTGTACAGCCGATGCAATGGGATGTTTTCAGCTATGAGCTTTGAGCCAACAGCGTTATTCCATTGTACCTGTGTCAGATTGTTTTGTAATTGTGGCTAACAGTATCGCTCTCTGGTAATACTTTGCTTTTGAGAAAAACTGAGGGACATGTTAAGCAAACATTAGAGTTGTCTTTCTGTTTCCTTTTATCTTTGGCCTGCAGTGGTGGAGAGCCGAGGAGGGATCATGGACAGCATACAAAGATTTTCAAACCTGCCAACGTATCTTCCCGCGAGCTATCACATCTGCAATGCTGATGTTTTCTTCTTCCTCAAAGAAGCCAACCAGGATATCATGAGGAACTCCAGTTTGCAGTCTAGGGTGGATTCATTCTTTATATACAAAGCCAAACTGCCACCTGTCCTAAATGCCACGTATGGACCCTTTTCTGTTGAACAGGCTGTTCCCTTGGACCTGATGCTGACTTCTGCATCTTTTGGTTTCACAAATAAATTCACTTTTAATTGGAAATTAAAATCTCACATAATCAACAGCTCGATCTATTCCAACAAACCTAAAATACAAACCTTGTTCTATATTGCGGGGAAGGACTGGGATGACAGCAATTCTGCGGAGAGGTTGCCTTGCGTGAAGATGTTTGCTTTCCTGGAGTCTAGAGAAGTTGTGGCCAGCTGTAGGTTGACAGGTCATCTAGGATTATGTGTTGCGGAGCTGGAATTATCTCCTAGCTGGTTCAGCTCCCCTCCACCCCTGGTTTCAGAGGAAACAGCCTCCCTGGAAGGGATTACTGTGGAGCTCTTCTATAGGATTTATACAGCAGATGGGGAGTGTTCTCCAGAGGATGCAAAATGGGAAAACAATATCCATGCAGGTCAAGATAATGAACACAAGGCTTTGTCAGCTATGGAGAGGATTGGTAGCATCATTGTTTACCCAAATCAAGACAAATTAAAACAGTCTTCACTGAGGCTAGATGAAAATATTGTTATTCGCTTACCACTCAACCCGGTCAGAGAAGGTGACGTTGTGACCTTTCATGTTTCCCTGGCTGATGACTCTCTAGCAGACCAGTTTGTATTAAGGTAAGAGAACTTTTAAAGTGCTGTATGCTAAACAGTCTACAAAGAGGGACAAATCGATGTCAGGTGTAATTTCTTTGGTTACATTCAGTGTTTTCCTGAGAGAACTTATGCATTTCCTCTCCACCTGGGGAAAACTATAAATAGTCTTGAATTATCTGTGTGGATGACACTTTTTGGAACATGGGAATTGATTTTAAAGTATGAGCTATAAATGTTTGTACGATTATTTGTTGTTTTAATTCTATTTGCTTCTAGTTATAATTCTGCCTCTTAAATTATGCCTCTTAGTCACCCAGGGTAACTGCTGCGATCCATTTTGCTAGAGGGTTTGCAGGAAGGGTTTCTGTTTCTTTGGTGAAGCTTCCTCTCTTTTTATCAAGCCGCTTATCATCTTTCCAAAGTACATGGGATACATCTTGCACAGGTCATATGTGGTGAGGAACTATTTTGTTGCATTGTACAGAGGGGAGCTGAGGGGTGAGAAAATGAGATGTGCCTCAGCTTGTGTAGGAAGTCTTTGGCAGAGCCAGGATTTGGATCCAAACTTTGGAAGTCGTCTTTGGTTTTTTTGTAAGACAGCCCATCCTGCTTCCTCAAGCTTTTGACTGCTTGTCGCGTGGCCCATTTTTGTTTTAAGTTTTGAGACTTTCTGGTGACCTTTACTTGTGAATCTGCCTGTAATAGGAGAATTCAGGCATTTCTAACCACCCCGAGGGTTAGTGCTGCATATTTGTTATGTCCTTAACTGTCAGACTGTGGGTTCAGAGCTGCATAGAGACCAAATTCAGAGAGAAATGTGAGCCAGACTGGGGGAATAAAAGGGCCAAAAGGTAATTGGAAAGTGTCATATGCTGTGAGAATGCGAGACGCTTGGGAAAGAAGGAGTTGCAGCCCACGCTAGCAAACCTCAAAACAGATTCGTGCCTTACTTCTAACTTCTTGATCTGAGAACGATGGGAGCAGAGCATGACAGAAGTGCACTTTGGGGACAGTTGTTGAGAAAACAGACAGCAAAGCTTATGCAGCACTTTCAAATCATTCAATGTTTGTGAAATAGCACATCCATATTAATAAACTTACAGATTGCTGCATGAATCAGGACAAGTGGTTCATAGCGCAGTCCACAGGCAGAGGGAAAGAAACAGTCCACAATGTCCCAAGCACTTCCATCTACTCAGGGTGGGGGGGAAATGTGTGAGAAATATCACAGGGTTTAACCAGACTTTAAAAGGTTTGGGTCAGGAAGGGTCTTCCTATAAACCCAACTTATTCTTGCCTTTACCTGGCTTTACTGGTTTTCATTAAATATGGTTTTGGCCAGCATCCACTGTCAGTAGATGGACCAACCTCATGGAGCAGTCAGGTTTCAGCAGTTGTGTATTGATCCTCAGTGCTATAGCAGAGAGATTATGGAATTTGCCTAAGGCTCTGCACGGATTTAACATCAGCTCTTAATTCTCAGTTTTTTGTTCTCTTTGCCACACCACAGGTAAAATTCCCTAGGTATTAGAGACAACCTAAGATGAGGATTTCTTCTTTCCATTGGAATTTCTAAAATAACATTGACCTTGTAACAAACGGTGCGAGGGTAGAGTTTTGATGTTTCTGCTGGCCAGGAAAGCACCAAAAACTTCTTGCAGAGATAGATTTGAAATGCTGTCTTTCAAAAGCAAAAATGGTTTCTGGAAGCGCTGAGCACGGTAACTAACCTGGGGTTTCAAGGAAGCAGAAACCGAGGGAGTCAAGAGCCTCCAAACTGGGGAGCCCCAGGATGGGCCAGAAGAGCCGAGACCCTCGTCTTCTCCCACAGGCCCCCATGACTTGCAAGTCTCCAGCTGGCAGGCGGGAGTCACTTCGCAGCGCTCTCCCGGCACGCGGAGCGTGCATCTCGGTGCTCCTGAACTGCTGGGAAGGCAGTCAGGTTTCCATGGGGATTTCCTTCTTTGAAAAGTGTGTGGAATCAGTTCATCTCCAGGAGATGTTTCTGTTACAGTAAATCGGCATGTTTTACGTGCCCAGAAATATTTCCTTGGAAGATTCACTATTGGCTCTATGTAGTCTAGCCTGTCTGGTCTTTTATGTGGCTTTGCTTGCATTGTGCTTTTCATCAGAGAAACTGCAAGTATTTTTATTTAACCTTCAGTTGAATGCTGCAAGTAAGAGGCAAAATGCAATTCTGCTGATGGTTCACCCGTCCTCCAGGATGGAGAGAGCATCAGCAACTGTTGCTATGATTATTTCGAATGACATACATGGGGCCCGTGGAGAGATTACTCAGCTGAAGTTTACACAGTAGGCAGGGAATTATGCCGACGGAAATACAATCACTATACTGCCTGCATCTAATTTGTGCAGTTTTCCTCACAGGCTTTCCCTGTTTTTCAGCTCAATGCTAATGTCCGTAAAAACCCAGAAGGTTTTTATATACATAGAATTTCTGTGTGTTATAGCCAGAGAAAGATACAATGAAGTGAATGTTTGCCTTGGGAAATATATTTTTACTTAATATAACTGATTGTTTTTAATCATATCTGTTATAAGTGTAGTGGGGTGAATTGCAGTCTGGCTCATATGAGACAATAGATCAAAATCAAGTCATTCGCAACACGGCGTTTGATGCCGACCTCGAGCTCTGACAGTATGCAAAAGAACAGATACGCTCAATTTTATGCACCTCTTTACTATTTCATGCTGTGTTGTGTAGTATATTATTTTACATTGGATTTTGTTCTACAAAAACTGACTTCAGTTCTCATACGAGACCAGATTCTTTCTCGTTTCGGTAAATTTGGGATTCTTAAGCAAGCTGGGAAACTGAAAAGCAATTGGAAACAGTTCCTTGATTCAGCAATGTGCTGTGTTGAAAGATACTCACTTGTTAAACCCCGGTCCTTCCAGTAATGTCACTTACGGGGCGATGCTGCTGGTTACATGTGAAGCTCCAGCTGTCACTTCTAGTCCTTTTCATCACTCCAAACTGGTTTTGCTCTGCTTAAGCTAAGTCTTGGTTGTTTGTTTTCATTCAATAACTAGAATTTAAGATTGAGTTGGAGCTCTAGTTGTGCTGTGGTCCGGGGAATTTGTTTCTTTTCATACTGCAATCCAGCCAGCATGGCTTGGTGTAATTGAAGGACCCAGATATGTCAAGGGGCAGAATTTGGAGGCTAAGTGTGCGTTTAATGCTTTTGCTGTGCCTGACAGTCATATTGCTCACTTGGTTGACAGATGATCTATACACGTGTGCAATGAAATTCTTATGACACTGGAGATTAATTTGTGGCCTTGCCGGTCTGGTCTGTACTGTAAAATTTACCATCTGTGAACATAAATTTTGCCCATTATGTTAGGTGGGCTGCCACTGAACATAGTTTAACCATAAAGATAGGTGAAATGGGCTATGTTGCCATGATTAAACTTTTTTATGGGCTACCTAGTTTAAAAAAAAAGAAGGAAAAATGAAGCACAGCTTTGAGATTCCGGCAGGACTAATACATGCATCAGTGTCACAAATTTTGAGGCACAGGAGTATCTCTGTTACCTTCTTTACTGACAAACTTAGATGAAACATAGTAAACAAGGAAAGATGGAAATCATGAGTGAAGAAGGGGTAACACCAACTTTTGTGCTATTTACTAAACATAAGTCGTCTCCTGATACACATGGAGGAGTTGTAAAAGAGACAGGAGAAAACAATTCTTGCTTAACTGGAAGGATGGAAATCTCGTCCAATAGCACTGGGAATGGCTTGCATTTCTTTTGTGGCGTATGTTATTATTTAAATCCATCTTGGGACTCAAAGGGTGTATTTAAAAGAAAAATGGGAGTGATTTCGTACAGCAGGAAAACGTTTAATGGAATAAATGGACAATTGCCCCTTGGCTATAGGAAAGAAACCAGGACACTGTCTTTATAAATAAATGGCAGAGTTTTGTCCCGTTTTCCAAGTCCCTCCATTTAAACCGTTGGCGAGGATGTGCTGGTAATGAAGGCTGAGCACTAATAGCAATTTGTCGAGTCACAGACAAAAAGTGGGTTTGTCGGCATTCATTACACGTCCCTAACATGAACGACCCATCCTTCTTTTATGCCCGATCAGAACAGAAACGGAGATTGGAGATATTCCAGGAATAACAGTAAGGGGCTGAAACCAGGTAATGAATCCCACGCTAGAGAAATGAAAGCGGCTGCGGTCGGGATGCGGCCTTCTGTCTGGAGGGGAATGGCGGGACCGTGCAAAGAAACCTCGCTGTTGTTCGGTGCCTAGGCAACCTCAGGGAAAAAGATTATCCGCTTCTTTCTGCCATGCTCCACATATTGCAGGGCAAAGATTACTTTTTGATTTTTGGATGAACCAGTACAAGGTGTAATACATGCCGGTTGGCTCTTACTGATTATTCTCGCTAGGAAAAATGATATTAAGGATTTATATTAATAAACATATATCCATATGGAGGAGGTTATGTCTCCTGCTAAGGAATAAAAATTGCACAGGCCATTAAAACTGACTTACAAGGCTTCTGCGTTAATAATGAAAGATCTGTAGAAGTCTGAGCAGTCGTCTAGAAGGCCAGAAAAAGATCATTAAGAGGATGCCTCCTGCCAATAGCTGCCAAGAGCAAACAAGGGAAAGAAAACAGAAGGTTTTAGATCTGGAAATGCATAGAAAATGAGAGCATACAGACTGTGGGGAATGCAGCCTGGCTGCGTGTGAGGAGGAGGCTCCGCGTGGCCTTCATCACTTGTAACCAAGCTGGTATGAATGGGGAAGCAGGGCCGGATTGTTACTGGTGAGAGACATAAATGATTAACTGAAGCATCATTTTAGGATGAAAATTCAGCAGAAGCGAAAATGTTGAGAAAGGAAAAAATACACTTCTGAAATTAATCAGAAATGCTAGTTCAGATTTAGAAATAATTACAGAATTAAAGCATTACTGCTTTACTGCTTACTGGCAATATTTGTTTTTTACCCAACGATTTTAATAAACCCAGAATGAATG